CCCACCCCCAGGGTGCCGGGCCCACGCTGGGCAGCCCCAGGCCACTGCCCACCTGCGACCACCACCTTCTCCACTCCTGTCCAGTCCTCTGCCCCAAGGCACCTGGGTTGAGCGTGTGTTCCCAAAGCCCATCTCCCACCCCCCCAGCATGCCCCCCCCATGGGGCTGACCCATCCATCCCCAAAGGCGGGTGCCTAACACCTGTCCCACCTGCATCGCGCTCTCCACATGGAGGGCGTTGATTCTGTCTCCCAGATTAGTCAGGCAGCATGTGCAACCCACCACGCAGACCCCAGGCCTCCCAGTCCCACGGGTCCTTCCCAGCCCTCTTGGTCCCCAGGGGCTCCTCCCCGACCCCGCGTACAGGGTACTGCTCCCTGCATTGCTAAGTGCTGGTCCCCCTGCCTGTCCTGCTTCTGCCTGTCTTGTCATCCCAAGCCACCCTCTCCAGGGTTGGGGGACCCATGACCGTCAGCCTGGCTGTGGGCATCGTCCCCACTGGACCAGCAGAATCCCTGCACCACCCCCAGCCCAGCGACCAGGCCTGAGGCCACCTGGGGTGCACCCAGGAGCCCACTGGGCTGGTGGGTAACAGGATCCCCAGGGGCCCCGCCCCGCCCTCCTGCCATGAATCAGCAGCTTAAGCTGCCAGAGTGGCTTTGCACCTGGGCTTGGGTGATCCCAGGCGTTCCAAGGCAGCCTGGGGCCACTCACACCACTACCGCCCGCATCCCCTGTCCCAGCTGCCTGGGGCACCCATCCCAGCTGCTCCCGAGCCCCCAGCTGTCTCCTCGCTCCTGGAGTCCAGCAGGGTCCTGTGTCAGACCAGACTCCTGCAGCGGGGCTGTGCCCCCGGTTCTGCTCCCATCCCTCACCCCCAGACACTGGGCTTGCGCCTGGTCTCCAGGGTTCCCCCAAGACTGGCCACCACGCTGACCAGGCTCCTGGAGGTCCATCTTCCAGATGGTTTCCACCCCTGCCCCAAGACTCAGGGAAGGCACAGACTGTCCCTGTCCCCTTGAGACATTGCCTGACTCCCAACCCGGCCCAGACTCTCACCCCTTCCCTCACGAGTACTGTGGCGGCCAGGCTGCAAATCCCGGGGGCAGAAGTGGCCTTTCTTCTTAACCAGGGAGGAAAGGAAAGCCATTTCTCCCACCCACCC